AGGCCACGGTACCAGCCTTCACGCACCTCTGAGCTCGGCGTACAGGTGAATGAAAGTTTTGGCAAGAAAAATGATAACTCGAGAACCAGAGAAGCTGGGTAAATGAAGTTTTGAGAGGACGCTCCCGTCCACGCACAACTTAAAAACTTCGAACTCAGCCCTCCAGTACGCATGGTTCTCATGTACGGGCTTGTGAAAATTTTGGAAAAATTGCTAACTTAAGAACCAGGAAAGCTAAAAACTAGAAACTTTAAGGGAACGCTCCTTGTTTTCATAGAACTTGAAGGTTTCAAATTCAGCTCTCCGTTGCGTGTGGTTCTAACGTGCTGGTCCGTGAATTTTTTGGCGAGAAAATTGCTAATTCGAGAACCAGAAAAGCTGGAAAATTGTAATTTTAACGGATGTCCCCTGTCCAAATATCACTTAGTTGTACAATTAATTTCTTGAATTTCGAGGGACAGTCTATTACAAACCCTAGTTAATGGGATCCTAAGCGATTACTACAATATGAAATTCTGCAAAAGTGCATGATCGCATGGGCCCGCCTGGTGCTTGTCGCCAATGATCTTTTAACCTAATGATTTTTTTAATGGATTATCCCCGCCGAAAAAAAAAAATTTTCAAATTCAGCTTTTTGTTACGCGTGGATTCGAAGAACGGCCGGTTACCACATAAATTTGCGGTAATCTGCGTGATGCAGGTTGAGACTACAAGCGGCTACATAATGCAAAAGTATCGCCCCAGCGACGCTTTTTTCCAGCTGCAGGCAAGAAAAGTGTGTAATGTATTAAGCTGTAAAGACCCAACATGAGCTCACGGCTCAAACAGTAAAGTGGCAGCCATTCAAATTACTGTCGGTCTAATTGGTTCATGCCTACCGCAGTAACGCATGATCGCACTGGCGATCCTGGTGCATCTTAGTCTGATTTCGGCTTGGAGAAGCTCATGCGCTTTGTGGAGTGCAGCATCGCTTTCATTTTGAGAAAAAAAGAACTTCGATTTCGTAAACTGCAAGCAGTCTGAGTAGGATATTTGCATTTTTTATGCGTTTTTTGCAGTTATGCAATGCAAAAACGCATATTGTCGAGGGCTTGTCTATATGTATATATATATATACATATATATATATATATATATATACAGCAGTACAAAACGCATATTGTCACGGGATTGTGTGTGTGTGTCCCACATTTTGTCCCGCACTTTCAACTCAGGAACCGCAAAAGCTAGGCGGCTG